CCATAATTTCAGTTACCTGTGGTCAACCATGATCCAAAAATATTAAATATAGAACTGATAGAAATAATACATTTCCATTTGCATGCTGACATGATTATCAAGGTGAAATCTCATGCTATCCCACTTTGTTCCATCTTGAAATTGTTCAGGTAATCCATCCTGTGTATGTTACCCACCCGTTAATCATTTGGTGGTCATCTGTGGAGGTATCTCAGTCATTCTGTTCAACTAACCCTTACTTAATTTGGTAATGGCTCCAAATAACAAGTGTGGAAAGCAAGAGGACACCAAGGCATAGAGAGGAATTGTCCAGTTTTCAAGATCTCATAGAAACCAAACCAAACTTCTGAGTCCCACAGTAGCAAATTGTCTACTGCCTAGATTCTACTACACAACACAGAGTGGTGGGAATGCCCTATTTTAGAGACACTCATTGGAAGTTAAGACCAGTTTGCTGTTTTGAACATGCTGGCAACTCAACAGAACTCGTTGAAGGATGCTTCAAGCTGCAACAGAAAACTCCTACCAGAATACCTAGAAAGAAAAAGGATTATTATCTCCTATCTAGTTTGGCAAATACCTACTGAGCATCCACTTTATACTCAGAGCTCTAGGGGTTAATAAGTTGACATTAAAAAAATGTGAGGTAAATGTAATGGAGGGAGCAAAGCAGTAAGAGGTATAAGGGGATGCAATTCTCTTTTAAATAGGATAGCTAAGACTTCTTGTGAAGACACCAAGAGATTGATTCTTGTGAATATCTGAGAATTCCATCTAGAAGGGAAGGCTCCCAGGTGAGTGCTTAGCTATGTTAGTATCAGGTGGGAGGCCACTGTGTCTGAAGTTGAGCAAGCTAAGGAGAAATTTGGGAGAGATGAGGTAGAAAGCTTAGACAGATAGAGGAATCCTATGAACTATTATACAGATTTGGACATTTTTCAAAATGAGATGAGATGAGTATCCATGGGTCTAGAGACCAGTCAGGAGAATATTGAAAGAAGCAACACTAGAAGAAGGGAGTCCAGTTATGAGATTATTCTAGTGTTCAGTTTTATAGTAATTCCTGAGAACGTGAATGGCCAGAACTGATCTATTCCATTCCTGACTCAGATTCTCTGTCTCATGCCCTGCTGATGTCAGCTTTGCCTCAAGACAACTCTTGCTACCATACGCAGATCAGATCACACCCAGTGAAGAATATTCTGCTTTTAGTTTTCCAAACAAAGAGCCTTTTCCACAAATGCCCATAGCAAATTTATTTTGGTACTCTTTGGCCATACCCGAGTCATCTGCACTCTTCTCAATGAGTCACTGTTAGGGAGAATGGGATTAGGCTTAAGTACTTTACACATAGACCTAACCTTTCATTTGCCTGAGTGCTGGACATAACAGCAAAGGTTGAGTTGTGTGAGGAAGAGTTGGATGCGATTGGAGTTGGCGCAACAACAGTGTCAGATTCAGGCAAAGGTGGGTGTGGTTTAATCAATAGTATTGCTTCCACTGGGTTACAAAAAAGAGGGGTCATTATTTAATTCTTTATAGTGCATTTATCACAGGCTAGTCTGATTACCATATTCCTAGACTGGCTTGTCTTGCAACCACTGCTTAAAGTACATGAGATAGAGTATTTGCCGTGTGTGTGTGTGTGTGTGTGTGTGTGTGTGTGTAAACTCTAAATTGATATCACGTACCTTTCCCAATTGTTTTCTACCTTTTATCTTGAGCAGGGTCTCTCACTGAGCTCAGAACTTGCTGATTGGGCTGGAGTGGGAGAGGGGGCTAGCACGCAAACATAAGGATTTGCCAGTCTCTGTCACAGGATATCTGATTGAGTTATTTACTGGAAAAACCTGTTTCTAGTTGTGGTGTGGCTCAGCCCTAGCACACACCTTTAATCCAAGAGCTTTCTGTTTATTGTAAATAAGTTAAGATTAAATGAAGTCAACCATAGACAAAGAGGTGGAGCTAGCAACCAGTTGATAGGGAATGAACATGGGGAAAACCATAGAGAGTAAGAGGGAGTCATGAGGGTGGTTAGAGAGATGCACAGGAAGAAGAGAGGGACATTCAGTTTCAGTGGGGTTGGGAATAGTGTGGAGATGGAAAACTTCCTTTTGGGTCATCTGCCTCTGTGAGCTAGCAGGCTTTCACCCCAGCATCTGGCTCCCGAGTCTTTATTGGTATAATTGAAATATTAAGATTTTGTTAAAAACAACAAAATATCCTGTGCTCGACACGAACACAGGAGTTACAGATGTGCACTGCCATGCCTGGCTTGTACATGGGTGCAGGAGATCAAACCAAGGCCCTCATACATGCATGGCAATCACTTTCCCTGGATAGAAAGCTCTCCAGCCCTATTTACCCTTTTAGTAATGCAAATTAAGTGCACTTGGCATGTTCCTAATTATTGCCTGTATTATTTGCTCATGTTATTCAAAGAACCACAGTTAACACGTAATCGTACAGCCTCTCTGGGGGTAGCTCCTGATTTCAAGTTCAAGCTTTTCTGATAGTGCTTATACCTTTTCCTTTTTCACAGTTTTTTTTTTCTAACTTTTAATCTAGTTAGTAGTGATTTTGTTTCAAAAGGCTGTGGCTAATTTTATAGCTGTATCACTAAATATAACTTTCAATTTCATTCATCTGCTTTGTCAATAAACATGAACTGGGCAGACATTGAAAACACAGCAACACTTGAATTCTCCCAAATCTCTGGTAGAGTGGAACTCACCTTCTGGTCTCACAAGTCACCTCTGGGAAAGGAAAGCTCACAGCACATGAGAGATTTTTCAGTTGGTGACACAAGCTAGAGACTGTGTACCTTGACCATGTTAGAGCCACTGGGGTTCTACATTCAATGATCATTTTTTCTACATTCAATGATTAGGTTATTTTTTTCCTATGAATATTATCTCCATAATTTTGTTAGGTGTATGCATGCATGTGGTGTGTGTGTGTGTGTGTGTGTGTGTGTGTGTGTGTGTGATGCAGACACATGAATGTGCACGTGCACATGGACTGGTCCATGTGGAGTCGAGAGCAAATCACCCTTGTGCTCTCTGCCTCATTGCCTAGGGATTTATCAGTGAACCGGAAGTTCACTGCTTTGTGGGGGATGGGAGGGTGTGCAGGTGGCTGTGTGGAAGTCACAAGAGGATGTTGGATGTGGTCCTCTAATGCTCTCTGCATTATTTCCATGAGATGAGGTCTCACTTAAGCTGGAGCTCACCATTTCTCTCCTAAGCAGAGTGACCCTGTTGCCTCTTTACCCACCAACATTGGATTGCAAGTATGTGCAGCCATACCTGGCTTTTTTTTTTAATAGGTGCTGGGGATCTCGGATCCCTATGCTTGAGTAACAGGTTGGTCAGCAAAGTCCTCTGAGATCTGCCTGTGTCTGCCCCATAATGCTGGGATTACAGGCATGTGTAGCCGTGTCCAACTTTTTTTGTAAGTGATGGGGACACAAACTGGGATCCTCATGCTTGCAGAACAAGTGTTCATATCCACTGTGCCACCACTTCAGCTCCTTGTTAGCTGCTTTTAAGGGGTTGTTACTACATAGTATCAAAACCTCTCTTACAAGCAGAAATAACCTTAAACAATATCAAGTCATTTTTCAGTGAATGCTCCTTGCTCATCCACACCATTAATCAACGGTGCAGGTAATTTCAGTGTTGGCAGGTCTCTACAATTGAAATTCAAGTGGTAATGATTTTGGAGTATTAAAAGTAACCACATGTTTTCCAAGTAAAACTAATGGCAATTTTTAACAGCTTACCATTTACATATGCTTCAGAATTTACCTTCTTGCTATTTTTTTGAGTGTATGATTCATGTAAAGAGCACCCTCCTGTCTCATTACTGCACAGGGTGTTTTTAAATGAGTAACTTACAGGGGCTAGGGCATGGCTCAGTGGTTAAAAACACTTTGATATACAAACATTAAGAGCTGAGATCCTCAGCACCCATAGAAAGGGCCAGGCATGGCTGCACATGACTACAACCTTAGTGTTGGTAGGAAAAGAAGCAACAGGGTCACTGGGGATTGTTGGCTTGCCAGCTTACAGAGAAACAGTGAGCCCCATCTTAAGTGAGAGACCTCATCTCATGGCAATAATGCAGAGAACATTAGAGGACCACATCCAACATCTTCCTGTGACTTCTGCATAGGCACCTGGATCCACTCAATCCTCCCTCCCTCCCCCTTTATCCCCCTCCTTCCCTTTCTCTCTCTCTCTCTCTCTCTCTCTCTCTCTCTCTCTCTCTCTCTCTCCATCTCCCTCCCTCTCTCTCTCTCTCTCTCTCTCTCACACACACACACACACACAGGAGTACGTGTGTGCAAAATCACAAACTTTAGTTTTAAAGGCCAAATTTGACTTTACTTTATATATATATATATATTCTTTTCATGCGACTCTACTATGAATTCCTGGTAGAAACTTGAAGGGACTGTGGAAAGTTTCACCATAATTGCGAATGTGAACTATAGTGAATTGGTTGCCTGAATTTGGATCTCGACGAGCCCTCTTTCCCATCACTTCCTATAGGTTTCACAAAACCTCACTATGTCGCCATTCCACCTTTCTTCTCTGTGACGCAGGCATGTGGTGCTTGCTCCTTCAGATGCTTGTGAGGATAAAATGATAACCCACATAAAGCATAAAGTGATGAAACAGATTCTATTAAACACTAAATCGTATGATGGCCCAGTATTAAAGATGTATTGTTACTCCTTTGTATGTGATGTACTTGTTCAGGAATACAGGTTCATAGCTGGTAGACTGAAAAGAACTGAAAGATGAGTGCAATCTCTCCTCAAGCTGAGGATGGAGAATCCGAATTCAGGAAGGAATGGACACAACCAATGCTGCAGTTGATGCTTCCATAGTCCATTGTAATGTTTCCACTGCTCAGGTTCCCATGGGGAGTGAAGCAGTTACACTAGATCTTTGCTGACCTTTCCAGTGAACAACCTTTAAAATGAAGTAGTTGTGCTCCCTTTGGCAGCACACACACAAAAATTGGAATGATACAGAGAAGATTAGCATGAACCCTGTGCAAGCATGGCATGCAAATTTGTGAAGCATTCCATATATTTCCATCTAGAAACCTCCCCACCTTGGGATCCGTTCCATCTTCAGGCATCAAACCCCAACACTATTGGAGATGCCAAGAGGTGCTTGCAGACAGGAGCCTTTTACAGATATGCTCTGAAAGGCTCTGCTAGCACCTGACTAAGACAGATGCAGATACTCACAGCCAACCATTGGACTGAGCCTGGGGATCCCAGTAGAAAAAAAGCTTAGGAAGAACATCAGTGTCAATTAACTGGACCCCTCAGAGATCCTAGAGACTAAACCACCAACCGAAGAATATACATGGGATGGTATACATATGTAACAGACGACTGCCTTATTTGGCATCAGTGCAAGGGAATGCACTTGGTCCTGTGGAAGCTTGATGCCCCAGAGAAGAGGAATGCCAGAGGGGTGAGTCAAGAATGGGTGGGTGGGGAGCACCCTCTTAGAGGCAAAGGGGAGAGGAATAGGAAGAGGAATTCATGGAAGGGAGACCAGGAAGGGAGACAACATTTGAAATGTCAGCAAATAAAGTAATTTTTAAAAATAAAAAATAAAATGAAGTTATCGTGTTGTGTGTAACAACATGGATGAACCTGTGTCCATACTATGCAAAACAAGCTAATCTCAGAAAGACAATCACAACATAATGTTACTACTTGTGAAACCTTAGAAAGTCAAAGACATAAAACAGAAAGTAGAATAGTAGGGTTTTTTTTTTTTCAAGGTTTAAGGACAAGAGTTGTTGAGAAAATAAATCATAGTATACAAATCATCTACAGAACCAAAATGAGTTCAGGAGAGTTTTAAATTTTTAAAAATTATTTTATGTATATGATTTTTTGAATGTATGTATGTCTGTGCATCGGGTACATGCCTTGAACCTGTAGAGGACAGAAGAGGGCTTCCTATCATCTAGGACTAGAGTCGCACACAGTTGTAAACCGTTTTGTGGTGCTGGTGATCAAACCTAGTTCTCTAGAATTGCAGCCTGTCCTCTTAATTGCCAAGCATGTCTCCAGAGCCCAAGAAAGACATCAGGATAGAGACCATGTCTATCTATCTTGTTCATGTCATACCAGTCATGGAATTCTTGAAAAGCAATCTTAATACTGACTAAGACGGATTTTCAGCAAGTTCTGGGAACTAACTAAATCAGGCTTCGTTACTCAGGCAGCAGTGGGGAAGCCTAGATCCAGAGAGACATACTCAGCCAGATCTGTGGCCAAATTCTGTAACCCAAGTATGGCAGTCCATGTCTCTATGCCTCTGTCTCTTTATCAGTAAAAACAAGGAGTGAAGATATTTCATGGGCCCTTGTGAGAATTAAATTAGCTAATTCATGTGAAGTATTTAATAGTACAGCATAAAACACAAACTCAGCACTCGATAAATGCTAAATCTCTAGTTAGTTTCAATGCTTATTTTCTCATACCTCCAGCCCAGTAATGGAGATTTCCTAATACCAAGGTTTGGGGTAGAGGAAACTGAGACTGTAACATGTTAAATGACTGAATTTTTTTTTCAAACCTATCATCTGTAACTTGGGAGACCTGTGGTTGAAACCTAGAAATGAAAACCACAATGGCTCCATATGGCAGATAACTACACAGGTTCTGGAGTTAGACTGCTAAGTTTGAGCCAAGCTTTGACATTCCTAGTATGTGTCATTGTCATGTGGTAAAAGTTTTCCTGATTTGAAATCAATCTTGATTTGACCCAAATCTCTTTATCTTAACCACATCCAATCTACTGTACAAAGAAGGAAAACCTTTCTAGTATGCAGCACAGTAGCTGGCCCATTGTGGTGCTTAAAACAAATATCTATTGAAAATACAGATGCATGTATGTATTGGTATCATCTCTATAATCAGCATTAAAAACAAATAAGACAAGAGACTCTTAAATTCATTTTGTAGCATTTCTCCACTGAATTCAACTCCTCATCAGTATATTTGGTTGATAGAATGCCTTCACTTTTAAATGATTAATTAAAGATTAATGTGCCATCTATCAACAGTTGCCTGAAAGGCCAAATTAGACTAAAAGGAACACCCATTTGTTTTGTTTTGTTTTATTTTGTTTTGAATATCAAAGCACTTAAAAACACTGATTCATGGAATTTACATACCATATGTGTAGTAACTCAGGATGGAGAAAACAAAGTCTGTTGTAGTCCAATCAGAATTAGTGTTGTCTTTGTGTAGCTAGCATGATCCCTCTTCAACCTAGGTTTTGGATTCCATGTTTCTATAAAGCAGACTTCTTCCCCACCTAGAACAATAGAATGTGATTCTCCTTCCCATCCTCAGATATTTCCCAACGTCAGAAAACACTTGTAATTGTCATGACTTGAGTGAGGGCAGTGGTACCTGGTGTGAGAAGAAGTTACTAAACTCCTACAATGCACAGAATGGCCCCTTCCTAGTGCACCATCACCCTACCTAAAACATCATTGATACTGGTTATGTGGACCCTGATGTCAAGCAAAACTCATAGACTGAGACAACAAGATGAACCTTCATGAGCACTATGATGCAGTATAGATGCAGAGTGGTACATGAAGTTTGAGTTACAAAATATAGTATCCTGTAGCCAAACAGAACTCACGTGCAGTTTGGTGTGGGCAGTGTGATACTCCCGAGGTAGAAAAGTTGTCTCTGAATGAGGAAATCATTCCTTGAAGAACAGTGGAGTGCTTTTTCCTTCATGGTTTACCAAAGGATTTACTGTTATAGCTTTTCAAAATAACAGGAAAAAATGGGTTAAAAGTATCTTGTAGAAAAGCCATTAAACCTAATCTCCGAGAAGCCTTTTCTATGCCTCTTCACGGTGCCTGAAAGGGTCAGAAAATGAAGATTTTTCTACCTGGATTCATGGATTTGTCTGTCTTAAAATTCTCTCTAATGTTCTCCTCTGTCCACAAAGAGATATGGCCTGAGTCCTAGGGAATGCTCAGAGGTCAGAGTAGCTATCCCAGTGAGAGAAATCCTTGAAAAATGCTGTTATTATCTCAGCATGGGGATTCTTTCCACATTACTCATTATTTAATTAAGACTCAGGGATATGCAGGAAGGAGACAGACAGTGCTATTCTTCTCGAAGAGCTAAACATGCATTCTAACCTTGGGATTCCTTCTTTGGAAAGGCTTTGAGGTGATGTACATATTGAACGCCCAGACTGCTGTTGTCCAGGAAGGTTGGAGTCCACTATTTCCAAATGAGAAATAATTAATGTGTAGACCAAACACAGCAGTTGGAACTTGCTTTATTTATTTAGGATATGTTCTATTATACATTAGCTTAGAATAAATTGGGGCAGGACAATGAATGAACTAGAGTACTTTAGCCAAACTAATGTTTCTTCCATGACCTCCTATTACTAGAATATTCTTCCCAATTTGTCTCCATACTTTGAAGTTTATTTCAAAGCACATCACAAATGCTGCCAATTCTAGGAACTCATGGAATCTGCCCTAATTTCCTAATTAGGCACAGGGGTAGCTTAATCTGTGTTCTGTCTGTTACTGTGGTATGGCCCTTGTGTGTTTTGTGATATGCTAGTTTACTCATTTACTCATTTACTTTCCCTCTATCTCTCATTCCTTCCCCTTCTTTTCCTGATTACTTCCATGCTTCTTGCTCATTTCTATGTTCTGTATATTACACACTCATCCAATCCCATGTCCCCTGACACCATTCAATGCATACTGAGCCCTTGGAGTCATGAAGCAGTAAGTGTGTGAACTGGGTTAAATTTCTTCTCCCTGGGGTAATAATGGTCCTTACCAAGTTCTTACTTTCAGATGGATACAAATGTTAACTTCACCAGGCCTGATCAAACACTCACAGATGTGAAGTTCAATCTAATTCGTGGTGCTCTGGCCTAGACTAAAGGGAGATGATTTCAGAGCCACTCACCCATCAACGTGTCGCCATGTCCTCAAAGCCCTGGGTAGGTGTGAGTGAGACATCTGCACTGGAACCTCAGCCTTCCACTGTGTGTGCTTACCAGAGTGACTAGAACTTCGTAAGAACTTGGAAGAACTCAGGACTAAGGGTTACTCTTATCACAACTATTATCATCATCTATTAAAACTAAATCATATTGCCAGGCCTCAGGGCTTCTAAACATTGTATTTTTGGCTTGCACTGGTGTCTCTCCATCAATTAGGAATTACTGTTTAGCTGCTCCCTACAGTTTCTGAGAGCTAGCTAGCTACATATATTGGTAGCAAACCTGTTTGGCTTCACTAGGCTTCTGCTCCTGTAGCCTTTTCAATGGAAGCCAATAATCCTCAGTCAAAACCAACTGCATTTTGTTTCTTCCTTTGCTATGTGGTACAACTGCTCCCTAAGCTGAGCCTGCACTTACTGTTCAAGTCCCCTTAGTCATATCTTCAGCTGGCCCTGTCTCTGTTGCCTTTGTCACATGCCAAGGGAGCCAGCAGGATAATTGGTCTAGACTGCCAATCAAACCTATGAATTACATCACTGGTGATGACCCTGGAAGATCTAAGAGTAGTCCTGGGAGGGCATGAGAACAGATAGCATCTGTGGCTCGACAGAGCTTGCATTACAGTGAAGAAACAGAGCTGAAGATGTGTTCTCCTAGCATGTTTGATGCCCTGGCACCCTGCACGACAAAAAATAAAACAGAAAAGGCAGGGAAGAAAACAAGTATGCTATTTTAGAAACAATTCAATACATAAATTCAGAGAGAAAGATTGTTGTGAAGGTAAATTGGCTAGGATAAGTAATGTACAGCATCTGTCTCGGTGTTAATTCAGATGTCCCTTATTTAGAGAAGTCACCCCTCACTATGTAGGTAGATTGGCCAGTCTTCCACACCCTCAGACTTACTTCCGCATTCTCCTTTGCACCATCTGAAATCTCACTGTTGGTAGAATGCTTATTTTTTTTCACTGTCTCACTCATTGAGAAAGCTAGTTTAATCCACAGAGTCTCTGGTGACTAGAGACTGGCTGAGGATCTAATAGCTGTTAGAAAGCTCAAGTGAA